ACGCGTGCGCCCGTTTTTTTTTAAGACGGCTCACTCTATTGGCTATTGTAGCTATAAATAGTAATATTTTTTAAAATTTCACAAAAAGTAGTTCAAATTATGTATTTTGTGATATTAATAACGTGATTTGGAAAAAAAACTAGAAAAAAATCCTTAAAAATAGCCACTGTTACACTGGTTTTCCCCCTTAATACTAATTGAAATATTGTAAATTGACATAAATACTGTAGATTAATATTTTGATAAAGGTGAAAATACTCACGATACTTTATTTTTAATATAACGTATTTATAATATTTTGATTATAAGCATATTAAAAATATTTTACTGATACTTTATTTTTTATATCTTCACGATTTATCAGTTGCGTAAATGTCATGCTTTTCCGTTCTAAATAATAACTGCAAACACGACAAATAATAGTTGGAATATTCTACATAGTTATAGCGGATTAATCGTAGATCGGGGATGTATAATTCAACGTCACAAATTTGATTTCCGGCGCGGCGATTTAAAATGAAAAACAGCTAATATAGTATTCAAAACCACAAAATAATTTTTTTTTTAATGAAAATGTCAAATAAGTATAGTTGAAAGATAAAATTTATGATAAAAAAATATAAGCGTGAAATATGTCTCATTTTATTACAATAAAAAAAATACTCTCTCCCGGATTATTTTTCGAGTCAATTGATAAAAATCGCAACTTGTCTTCAATATGCATATTATTATGAAAGAATCACGCGCGAGCTTCTTGACAACGCAACGCAACACGGTAAAGCACGTATATGCGTCATCATTCCGTGGCAAATTGCGCGCGAAGCTGATAGGTTTTATTCAAGGACACATAGCTGCGAAGGCGAATAGCGCATTTTTCTAGACTATTGATTGCACATCTACCCGAATATAGGGTAATATTCAATCTGTTTAATAGCATGGTCTACCACCGTCCTCGATTTCATCTCATCGCTATACACGATGACAGTGAGATACCGCGTTTTTTTTCTTTTTCCCTATTTTTCGTTCCACTTCTGCACTTAAACAAAATACTCTCGTTATTCTTAACGCAGGAGTAAACTCGCCTACTTAGTGCGTCAAGAGAATGCGTTTTCTAGTAGCCGACTTATGACAGCTTGTAAATTGCTTGTGCACTTGCAAGCTTTACTCCAAGAAAACAAAAACTTTTTAATAATGCATAGGATAAAATATCTTATAATTTAAAGATATCGATTAAAGATATCAATTTATAAAAGATTAGTCGAATAAAGAGTAAACTACGTGAAAAGAAATAATATACAAGTAGAGTTGTGCAAATTAGAAACTTGCACATTGCTTCCTCATCATTTTATCTTACACACACACACACACACACACACACACACACACACACACACACACACACACACACACACACACACACACACACACACACACACACACACACACACACACACACACACACACACACACACACACACACACACACACACACACACACACACACACACACACACACACACACACACACATACATACAGACATTTTTTAGGAATATGATTTTCCGACGTTTTGGAACATTCTAAACACACTGGCATAGAAAACTCGAAAAAAAATTTTGTCACGAAAACAAAGCTTCCTCTATGAGGAAGCAATATGTATAAAAAATAATTATTGTATTTTCATGTCTTATAATGTTTTTGTATCAAAGATGAGAGATACTAAGCAGTTAGCTTAAGTTATCGATAATAATCACAAATCGCAATTTTTTGAATAAACACAAAAGAAGAAAAAATAATTCTTTTAAATATAATTAGAAAAATGACTTATACACTTCTTAATTCAACAATTTAAATTTAGCATTTAAATAGAAATAAATTCTTCGAAAATAACATGCAGAACATCATAAAAGTTTACGCGTACGATACAAAGGATATTTATATCGACTTGCTTTCTAGCTCTCTCTCCCTCTTTCTCTCTTTTCAATACAATTTAATGATCGAGGTCGTTGAAATCGATATCCGCACGTTGCAAGTCGAGGACATCGCAACTATAGAATAAGTACAAATTAATATCGTGCGTGACGCACGTTAGCAACATAATTAGGTTTGTTAAATATAGATATTTCAAATCTTTGTTTTTTTATAATTTTATCAAAATAAAAAAATTATATGAATTGAATAATTTTAAGTTCTGTATTAAAAAGTGTCATTGTCTTAAAATTTTGACTTTTACATAACCCTATATATTAAATATGTATATAAATATTCATTCTAAATTTTTATTTTCAAAGTTCGCAAGATTTTATCGTATTTAATTATCTTTATATAAAATCATCCTGAAATATATAATATAAATTATTAATTAAATTAATAATTCATTAAATTATATTGATCTCACTTAAATAATTAATAAAATATTAAGAATGAAAAACGTTTAGATAGAAAAATTCTTCCTCTTTTCAAACGGAACAAATTAACAATTATCTCCATGAATAAAAAGAAAGATCGTATTTTGAATACAATATTGTAAGAGTGACATCGAGAGAAATCCACTTATCGCTAAAGACTTTTATGGCAATGCTATGCCGGCTGCAGCGAAACGCATAGATTTCGAAGTAGCAATGTGAATTTCTTGCTCTCGCGTGACACCACAAACCGTGACACACAAGATGTCGATTACTTCGTGGAAAAAAATAAGCATCTACTATCAGTGTTAAAATTTAAAAAATTTTTTATATTTATACGTATTTCTCTAACAAAGTTTTATATAATCGTTTAGCTGGATTTATTTCGCACAAAAATAACACTTAGGAGATTTTTCTTTTTTTAAATATGCGGTGATTATTAATAGATCTCGTTCACAAATATCGGCCATTAATATTATTATTCCTCTTTAAATCATTGTGTTCTTTATCCTCGTTTTTCCAATATTTTTTAATTTTATCTTTGTTTTTCATAGCCTTCCTATTTCGTGAATAGATATATCTATATGTCTAGCTATTATATAAAGTTATAAAGTTTATTCAAATGCAGATTTAGAAATGTCGAGTATCTTTAATCATTTTCAATTATTTGCGATTAGAAAATTGGCACAAGTAAAATAAGAAATCCGTGTTGAAGAGAGGGAGGGACGGACCTGCCGATTGGAGAGGCGGCGAATGTGCACGATTGAGATTGTGCATAGAGAACATTATCGCGAGAGAGGCGCACGAGAATCCCTAACAGTGGGTCACACGCATGGGAAACTGGAACAATTTCATCTCCAGGCGGAAGACTCGATTTTTCTCCGCGGGAGAAACTACCGATTTTTCTTTCGATCGCGAACGTTTCTAGGTTACAAGTAAATAAGAGCGCGACGCAGCTCGCACGCGTCGCGCAAGGGAATGTCTCCCTATTTTCGCTCCGCGACATAATTTTCGCCGACACGAGGCAAACAGTGCCGTGAATCCTCACGCGTGTGTGCGTATTCTCTCTTTCTCTGTGTGGATAAAAAAAAAAAAAGGGAACCTGCTTCGAAATCCGCATTTCGCGGTGTCATCCAACATTTACGTCGTCGGGAGACAAAACAAATTAAGCCATTTCCTTTCCGATGCACACACCCACACACACACGCGCATGTAAATATTGCAAATAATTAAGTGTAATTATAATTAATCATTTTGTATCTTTCAAATACATGAATAATTAAGTATCATTATGATAATTATATGGTAGCTCATCTCTTCTTCCCAATCTTTTATCTCGCGATTATGAATAATTCACGAATGCAAAAGTTAAATATGAAAAAGAATTAAGCACTTTATCGTTGCACGTTTCGCGTATTTACATATGCGAACGTAATGTATCTCGCACGTGTTTCGCGACGGATATAAAAATATCGCTCAATGGAACGGACAATAATATTTTTCAGATAACTCCCGCGTATTATCTCGCGCGAATTTTGCGGACGATCCATTGATCGATGGTCAGATTTTATTCGGTACGATAAAAATCGTACGGCGTATTATTTATAAATGAGCGAATGGCGCGTATCATTGATCCTCTAAGTAGCATAGCCGCGATAAGACTCACTGTTATCAGTAATACGTGAGTAACAACATTAAAATCATATCGATGGAAGGAGGAAACGGAGCGACGTTGAACGTACCTCAACATACTTTTCTTGTAAAAATCATAAAGCTCACAATAGCGCGGCGAATCGATTAGTTGCGGCATAAATCTCCCGATCTCGACACACCGTGTGCAAACACATCGCGTTTTTAATGCATCTCGTGTGCACTCGACATGTTTGAACGCTTCTACTCGCCGATTCTCTGCGCGACGAAAGAAACCGCCTAATAGAAAATCCATCAATGGTTATTTCGCGAGCCAATAAATGTGCGCTCAAAGTATGTACACGGATTATTTTGTATGTACTGAGCGATAAACCTTCCTTCGCAGTGCGTATCGAGACTGTTAATTGCAGAAGAGATGCCATTTTATGCGTACGCATCAATAGCTTTTTTTTTTTTTTTTT